TAGACTTGACTATTCTCATTATTGAGTACAAGACCAGTCATGTGGAGTTTTGTCGATAAGGCCTTCCAGCCAGGCACTGGAGTGGTCTACATGTCAATAATAATATCCCCACTGGTTTTCACAACCAGCTCGGAAACGTCCCACCACCTCCCAATACCCCCCCCCCCTCGTGCCCTTTGTTTACGTAGAAGCCCCTCCCCCTGGAAAGAGAGAGAGAGATAAAGGGAGGGCAGGAAAGAGGGATAAAGGGAGAGGATAATAAACACTTAATCCTTTCACTCCAGTCATTTGGGTCATCCGTCTGTTGGTCAATAAGCCAGGGTCCATTCAGTCTATAAGCATGCGGTCCATTGACCTCCTCGGCCCGACGGCATGTAAGATATTGGCCCAAGATGGATGCCAGCAGAACAAAAATGACACGCACCCATTAAGCTTTTCCAATCAGTGGCACATTAACACAGCAACACATGCACCGTGCGTTGTTACCTCCTACTGATCCACAGAGTCTGAAATAACAAGTTTTTTGAAATCAGGTTATAATAGACTCAGCATCAACCACAGCTCTAAACATTGACGCTATCATCCTACCTTACACGGTCCGTTCTGCACTCCTGTGCTCCAAATTCAGCACTCTCTCACTCACAAATGTAGTGAGCTCTGCAGAAGCGTGAGCCGGGAACGCGCACAATCAGCTGTCGCAGGAGGATTAAGCATCGCTCTAATGCTCCAGCCACAGCTCTGCCTACATGTGAGCAGATGTGGCGCTCCTTAAATTACACTGTAGACCTAATGACCTAGATTGCTGGGTGGAAGCCCTGGGTGGAAGCGCTGGCTGGCTCTCAATCTCTTTACCGGCCTTTAGATGCCGCGGGTGAATCTGTGCTACGACACTAGCTGTCCAATGCTTTGCGGGTGGCCAAGCTCAGAAATGCAACCCTGCGTGGTGAGCAAAGCGTTGACAAGTCTCAAAAAAAAGAGTCCTTTAGCAAAACACAACAACAAAATAATTTTCTGTCTGAATTCAAGCAGCTTTAAATCTGCTCGTTAAAGAGAGAACCAGCACATCTCAGAGTTTCCCCTGACCACGGTGGCAGCTCCTTGCTTTCCGTTGCCTCGTGGATCAAAAGATTAAAACCTTTTCGGTGGGGTGTCCGATTAAATGGGTCTGATATGCACTGTGGGCTTTCCCCTCCCTACAGCACTGCCACCACACAAGCCAGCAGCTAGAGAGGAGGAGATGACTATCTATAATGAGGAATACAGTCCACTAGGTTAACTAGATGTTGCACATTGTTCATGTTATTGAACAATGTGCGATTTATTACCTAGTCCCAGGCGAGGCTGAAACATTTGTGCACAGGTCGTCTGTATATCACCATCAATTCAACAAAATGTTCACAGATAAGGAGACGGCTTTCACAGCCAGGTGCTTAAAACCTGATAAATCAACTTGAGATGTACTGTGATGGTGTGAGTCAACATGCGGTGCAGCGGTAGGAATGTAAATCACAGGTCTGCAGAAATCTGCACATTACACACATATTGCAGCCAATGGTCAAAAGCCGTCTCTGGTGATGTCATTACTGTAATAGGATCTGGTGGCTGCTATTGACTTTGCCCATGGTGGGTTTCCTGCTGGGCTAAATGAATATTTACACAAACCTTCATTTATATGCTAAAAACAAACAAACAAAACGGAACGAGGGGGGTGGAGGGAAAGATAGCGGAGATTAAAAAACAGGGAAGGGGAAACGTTAAGACCTTGAACATGACTGTATATTAAATAAAATCAAAATTAAACCAGAGCCAAAATAAAAAAAATATACAATCACTCCCGTCTGTCCTGAGTGCAAAATACCGAACAAAGGCAACTGACACAAGCTGAGAGATGCCAATTGTTAAATGAGCCAAACTGAGATTGTTAGACTCGTGTTTTCCAATGTTTGACATAATAGCTCAGTCTGATTTGAGGTGTGTGTTGGACTTTAATCAGGTTTTGGCTGCGGAAATGATTACATCCTGCCAGTGATGGGTTCTTGAATTAGAGTAAAGTGCTAATTTCCCAGTTAAAAGCAACTAAAGTTACCAAACAATAACTGTTTCATGATACTTTAAGTGTATTTTGGGGAGATTCTGTGCTGCCTGAAATACTTTACATGCACTCATGCGCTATGAAAAGGTACAGTCTGCCTCAACATGCAAATGTTTATTTGTAAACAACCTTTTAAAAGACTGAATACAATGTTAGCCTCACCTATGAGGATCTACCTTTGGCTACATACAACTAGCAAACTTCTTATCATATATGATAAGAATCCACTTCAGGGGAACAATGTGAAAACTGTCTGTAAAAGATTTTTAAATATGCACATCAAGAAGTTATAGAAATGGAGCAGACACATCTGCAGAGACTCCTATTGACTCTTATATAAGGCCCCACAGAGAAACCGACAGCAGATGAAGTACATCATCAACAAATAACACATCTATGACTATTAAAGGAATATTACGGTGATTTTTCGCTCGGTGTCTGAGCTCTATGATCCAGGATCCGTCCGTCAGTGTGATTTACGACACTGCCGGCGTGTGTCTGTGTGGTCCCGGTGGGTGTGAGTGATGCCAGCGGCGCTGACAGGCAGACGATCAATCCGCTCAGCGTTCAAGTGCAGATCAGCTCCGGCCTCCGTCTGCCGGAGCTGCTTCCAGCACCTCGGACAGCGCCGGCAGCGAGCAGAGGAGGCCGCTGGGTAAAAACTGAAGAGTCTCATCTTCTCACCAGAGACAAGAACCTGACTGAAACTGAAGAGTCTCAGCTGCTCACCAGAGACAAGAACCTGACTGAAACTGAAGAGTCTCA